CAGAGATAGCATCTTTTTTATTCCACGCATTCTGCTTCCTTGACAAAACCTGCAGACTACATTACCCACAATGCAGCTGGACTGTTGACAGTTCAGTCGCAAATTTGGGTGCGTTATGTTATTAACGGCTAATAGCCACTAGCCTCAAGAGGAGTTGAGGAGTGGGCTACAGAGGTCTGGTAAGCTCACATCTTTCAAACTGCACACACCACTCTAACCAGTCTTCTGCCTCAACTATTGCTGACTCAAGTGACATCACTTGAGGTAATTTAGCACTAGCACATTTCTCACAACTCCCTCTGGAGCCACAACAGGCTTTATGCAGCTTTTTACACATGTACAGTAGTACTCCACAAGACCTGTAAACAGACTCTGATGATGTGTGAAAATCTGTCATTCCCCTTTAACATCAGCATATTCGTATTATCATTGTGAGCTTTTAGTCCAAATTACAGACTCACAGAGCCACTAGCATGGCTCATTCTTTTTCAGGCTTCAGTTGTAAAAATACACAATCCTGAGGAAAAATCTGGAAAAGCTGAAGGAAAAATCTATCATCAAACTGTGATTCAAGTATGATTTATCTGCTGCTTTTATGAGGAAATCCTTTTAGAACTTATATATAGTTTGATCAGTTGTGTTTGTGTGTGTGTGTGTGTGTGTGTGTGTGTGTGTGTGTGTGTGTGTGTGTGTGTGTGTGTGTGTGTGTGTGTGTGTGTGTGTGTGTGTGTGTGTGTGTGTGTGTGTGGGTGGGTGGGTGCGTGTGAGTGCATGTGGGTGCGTGTGTGTGTGCGTGATGTGTCTTTCAATGATAGTGGCTGTGTCCCGCTGTGTGACAGACTGGACACTCTGATAGAAAAATCAATCCTCAGACCGTCTATGATTACAAATGAAATGCAGCTCCCATTTGTCTCTAATAGGAACAATGACAAAGCATTTCTCCATCACAAGATCTTTTCACATCCATTAATCTGATCTCATTCGGTTGCAGATAATTAAACCGTAATCAGCATCAGCAAGGTTCTACATAAAGGACAAAATGACATACTTTTACTTTATTTTCATAAGTGTTCTTACATCTGCTCTCATTTTTCTCCATCCATTCATCCCGTTTCCAATTTCCTCATTTGTGTTTTGTGTCAGCTAGATGATTAGGGAGCCACGGTTACCTGACAGTTGTCGCTATGGTGACCAGGTCACTGAAATGTTTTTGTTCGGCTCTTTTCTCTCTCCCCTCTATCTCTGCTTTTCTCTCCAACCTTGAAATACACTGTTATAATACACTTAGTTGTTTCAACCTTTATGAAAGGATGTATTGAGATATTCAGCAGCAATCTGCTTAAAAGAAGGTGGAAAGGTGGATGGTGGTGTGCAATGAACAACATTGGTATTGTGTTTTTTTGAGGAAAAATACTGTGTAATTTGTTTTCAAAAGTAGAAAACCTTTCAACCTGGAGATTGCCCAGTTGTAGTTGCTTTGCTGCAAGAATTATTGAATGAGAGAAGCCAACCTGTCATCTATTGTCCTATCTTTCTCATGCAGGTTATCTGAAGTTTGACACTGGAAATCAGAGCCTAAACAAGTTTTCATACTGGACCTAAACACAAAAATGGCCATTTATCAGTGTAGTCCAAACTGGTTTACAGTATGTTTTTTAATCTGCTGTGACTGCAGACGATGTGTGATTAGGTTCAGGCAACCAAAACTAAATGGTTATGGTAATGAAAGATTACTATCATGACTTAAGAAAATCATTTTTTGTTCAAAAACAAAATCAACTTCCACACAGTTATATGGTCTTCAATTGTGGTTGATGTACCCTGTTTTCAAAAACCCAATAATGTGGTTTACGGACGCCTTTTTTTAAACTAGCTCCAAGTTAATCAGTTGTGATATATGCTGATATTTTTTTAAATGTTGGCTCCCTTTATTATACAGCTGTGGAGTGATTTATACATGCCTTCACATTAGCAACACAGTATTGTAAATATAAGACAGAAGGACCCTACAGAGTCAGAGTTACTGACCTGAAAGTCAAGATATACAATTAGCGTTGACTTTCTAAGTTAGGAGCAATGATAAGGCTATATGAAAAGTTCACAGACCAAAAATCTATATTTTGCTCTGAACCACAAATGTCAACCTGCTGGTGGTGCTAGAGGAAAGTCAGTAAGCTTCATCCCTTGGGGCAGGGGTAGGCTACCTGCAGCTCCAGTTCTTTGGCCCCTCTCCAGCGGCTACCTGTGGCTTTGACAAAAAATTATATGGGAAAGATAATGGTTATTTTTAAAATATTTTTATTCATCATTGTTGGAGGCCTTAAGTGATCCAATTGTAAAAATGTGCAGCCATTTCATACCAAATTATAAAATCATCCTGACCTGGTGCTTTTCCTCTATATTTTGCCAAACCCTTTAACAGCAGTGGCTACTTGAGTCAACCTAGATAGGCTATGGATTCAAAATCCCCAAAAATAAAAGACAGAGAAGATTTGTTTGATTTCACCACCAACGCAGCTGGCTAACTGGTATGCTTGATTTGGCCAAAGCAGACCACTGAACAATGCTTCATATCTTGTCCTTTACTGAGAACTACAATTGGCTTAACAACTTAATAAAACACAATTAAGTACCTAAATGCTTCCTCGCATTTATTTTGTCACAGTGGCACAAAATCTTCTTTTCCTCTCTGCAAACACTGAAGATCAAAAGCAAATAAAACGGTTTCCCTGCAGCTTCCATTTTATTTACGCAGCTAATCTTCAGAAATACAAATTTCCCAGGAGGAGTTGCGGGCATCATGTAGCATTAAACTAACCACAGATTTTTAAGGGTAACATGATAGATAGATAGATAGATAGATAGATAGATAGATAGATAGATAGATAGATAGATAGATAGATAGATAGATAGATAGATAGATAGATAGATAGATAGATAGATAGATAGATAGATTCCCGCAATTTCCACTTGCACTATGATGTATCTTTTTGTTTCCTGGTTAGCTTTATTCTATGTCCATGCACAAATGGCCAATGTAGCTGCCACATTACACTTCATTTTCTCATTGTCGCATTTTTCTTGCCCCAAAAAAAACAAAAAAACTTGATGCTGGAGGGATGACATAGCAGTGCAAAAACCAGGCCACACTTCAATTAGGATCGAGAGGAGTATTGATCCCATCTGCACACAGTGGCTGCCTCCAAGCACAAGCACACACACACACACACACACACACATTCATACACACACACACACACAATGGCATGCGCTCGTACAGACGAGCCTGCACACAGTCTCACAGGAATTCACAGACAAACATTTGCATAGCAACACACATAGTGACTATCAGACACTTACACACACACACACACACTCACTTAAACACTGTCTCATTTGCTCATGTGTTATGCAATATAGTAAGCTTTCCCCTTCGTTCATTTGCTCACTGTTCGTTGTTGATTTCACCTAATTTTATTTCATCACCTCATTTGGGATGGGTGAGTGCCGTGTGTGTGTATAAGGCAGCTGCACAATATTCATAGCTGTCTGCTCCATTCGAAGGCTCTAAAAACAGCAGTATAATTGTCTAATCTTGCAGAGCAGGTGGCGCATACAGAAATAAAGCATGTGAAGCCGTGGCTTTTCTCTGACCGAACATGAACATCACATTGTTTCCATGTGATTTCTGTTTTCAGTTTATGCAGCTTGTACTGTGCACCTTGGCCAGGGCTTTCAATCCCACATAAACACTGTGTAAGCCATCTTTATTCTAGTGAAGGAATGGGTTTAGGCTCAATTTATTGTCTTTTGTGCCTCACTCTTTCTATTCCTCCTTTCTTTTTCATATTTTCTCTGTGATTATTTCCCTGTTCTCTAATCTCCTCTTCAGCCCGGGTCTTTTACTCTCTCACTGGCTGCAAGGATCTTGAAACAATCCCATGTTTTGTGTGCCGCATTGCTGCTCACATCAGTTTAACAGATAATGCCATAAGGGTGCAGGCTTTATCCTGCATTTGGAGGAATCGTATGCAGAAGTTTTTTCCCCTTTTACCATTGTTGATGCCGATGTGCAACAGAAAATATGCAGTCAGAACTGCTGCTGCTGACCAAATACAAAAATACAAATACAAATACAAAAAGTGCTAAATTTCATCTCATTAAAAAGATATAAAAGTGTACAATTGTACTGCTTCATATAGACAAAGTAACTGGCATAATGGGATCTTCCAAGCACAGGTAAGCTATGTCTGCCTCATATGCGTGCCTGTTTTTGGCACATTTTGTGACTGATTTAGGTCATAAGAAGTCCAGGACTCCGAACTCCTCAGGGGCCCCAACCCCAGATGGCCCCAGGTTCACTTTTTGGGTTAAGTGCCAATTTGATGGGGAATTTACAACATCAAAAGTACAACATCAACAAAGGCAGGTCCTGCATCCTTTGGTCATTTTGAGGGTGTGACTTAAGGGAACCCGTCTCAAAATAGCTTTATTATTTTAGTTTATTCTTAAATAAAGTTGTCTTTCATAAAATTACTACAAACTAACCGAAACTACTGTACATATTGTTCCAGCATAGGAGCACTGGTTGCACTGGACTCAATGGGAACTTGGGAGCAACAGGATACACATTGCACATTGGACGGAGCCCCAGGGCCTCCTAACTGATTAATTCAGCCATATTTATGCGTTAGAATACAAATCAGTTTATCAAATCCATTTCACATTAAATAGTTTCCCTCTATGACCACATGGGAATTTTATTTAATACCCTTATTTTAAAACAGTATGCATAACCTGAGAGTATATTTAAGCTTCACTGATCAACACAATATAATTTCTATCACATGAACGCAGCCAATAGCCTCTCAGAACATTTACCTCATTGGTTCTCGTTTCACTCGCGTAGTGACCGCCAGGGAACCCTGAGTGCTGCGTCAGGCTGACCACAGCCGCGGAGGGAGACGGCATCCGAAGAAGAAGCCTGCTCTCCGGGTCTACTTTCCACCGGCATCACTTGGGAGAAGGTTGGTGAAGTATCACCAACGGCTGCGTATCATTTTTACATTTTATGTCGTAAAAAAAAATAATCCCTTTTGATTTTCATCTGAACGGGGTGCAGCTTTTACCGAGGTGTTTGATGAAACTGTACCTTGTCAGGTTACCGTATGCCCGCTCCTCTTAAAAAAAAAAAAAATATATATATATATATATATTTTATGATATTATGTTAGCTAGTTATTTTTTGTGAGTAGAGCAACAGCTATCAACTGAAGGGAGACATTTTTTTTTTCTTCTCATTATCAGACGAGAAAGTGTTTCCTGCCCCGTCTCTCTCTCTCCCCCGCCCCCTGCCTCAAAGCCAGCTATTGTGATTGAATCAAACCTAAAAGCGATTCATCCTCTGAGGAGACCCGACTGACTGCGCCAAAATGGGGGTAAGAGCTCTTTTATTCACTTCAGCTAAACTAACACGTTATAAAATGTCGGTGCTGTTAAAAGTTAGCCGTTAACGGGCAGCCAGTGTGTCCGTTAATGAACGGGTTCACGTTGTATGGAGCCACAGGCGTGATGTTAAAATGACATTGGTGTCGGTGTGTGTGTGTGTGAGTGTGTGACTAGTCCTAACTACCTGTTAACGTGATGTGACAAACTGCTAAAATTATGCTAAATTAATACATGAATTACCATCGTCTGTTAAGGGGCGTCGCTGCTCTCTGCAAGTCGTTAAATATTATTATCACACCGATTATTAATGCGATACATATTATGACAGCCACTGGTGTTTGTTTGACTGAACTCGTGTGTGTGTGTGTGTGTGTGTGTGTGTGTGTGTGTGTGTGTTTTCTGAGGAATAAGCGCCACATTTGGGTCCAGACTCCGGTGTAGGGTCTATTTCAGTGTGTGTGTGTGTGTGTGTGTGTGTGTAGCCTTTTTACAGCTCCCAGACAAACAAACAAATATGTCACTGTTGCTATCACACACACACACACACACACACACACACACACACACCCCTCTCTCCGAATGAACACCACATTAAAGGCGATCATCCAAAAGCAGTGAGCCTCCACAAGCTGCAATTCAAATGTACAATTTTAAGCACCCATGCGAGATAATGAACATTTGGTTGGTCCCTGATCTTTCAAGGCTTTTTCTTTTGGCACTGTAACGCAAAAGTAATGTAACGGGCCCGGGTGTGTGCAGACAAACGTCAATTGTTTTACCTACAAATACGCGTTGAATTGGGGTTTAACAAGCAGTTTGGCATGGAGTTGCGGAAAGATGTGCTGCTTCATTCACCGCTTCCCCCAAAAAAAAAAAAGATTACACCGACCGAACATCTGACACCAGACCGCTGCAGACGCTTGAGGACATTCACAGCTCTTAAGTGTCCGATTAGTGGGACTGCATAATGACACCGACGAGTCCAGTTAGAAATTAAATGTTTGTGAATAAAATGCAGGTGAAACGCGCAATTACGCACGGGGAATATGTAACGCACTGGTGGTGAAAACCGCAGCCCTGACTGCGGAACATCATACCATTTGCTCCAAACCTGAATGCAGTAACTCTTAATAATCGAGTACATGTCGTTGCCTTGTTGCTCCTAATGAAAGAGAGCTACTAGAAAGTCGTGAATTTATAATATCATTTGTAATGTTGAGGCTGCAAAGTGGAAGAGTCCAGATCCACAGAGGGTGTGTGGGGGCTGGGACTCAAAACCATGAAGGCTTTGAATCCTTTTCTCTTCATCTTCTTTTCTCTACCAACCATTTGGTGCATATTAATTCAAACATTACATAATGCCACAGTGCTTCGTGTTGCTGTCACTGCCAGTGCTGGGCTCGGTGAGGGTGTAGAGGCAGCTAAGGTCTGGGTACCAAATGGGCACAGACAGTTGCGTCAAAATGGTTCCTCAGCATTGGTCATTCCTCGTTCCCCTGCACTCCCCAAACTCCCTACTCCTATAGATGTTAAGGGATGGGTCCCAAAGGAAGGTGCTCTCCACAAGTAGACAGAGCGAGCACCTCCACCGTCTCGTTTTACCCATCTACTCATCTGTCAGGTCATGGAGGACATCCAGTTCCACCCACTAAATTTAGACTCCATGATGTCATTCCTACTGAATTATCACTGTTACACGCCGGTAGTATTATTATAGGGCATTATCCAGTGTAAGCACAGTGAGGTATTACAACCTTATATTGCTTTACTGAATGTTGTATCTTCACTTAGAGGATTCACGTCACAAGAACAATGTATCGTTACACAAAAGTAGTTATCGTGACAGACCTACACATGAGAATGCATTAAGATAACGTTTAAATTCATGCATGCAGGCACAAAGCAGGCGCTTCCATAGTAATCTTGTTGCTATGTGATTCCAGTGATGGGGCTGACTTCATGAGTTGAAGCTGGGCTTTAGAGACTGGAATAAAGGCATACTAATCTTGTGGTTTCTCAGTCAAGTTATTCACAGCTACATAGCTTCCTGACACGTACTGTAGTTTGAATTTACTGCAATGCACAGTTCATTATACGTTTGTAATTGTAGTGAGTTACACCATATATTGTTATATAATTGTTCCAGTCTGTCAATATTTGATCAGTACTGACTCTCAGCCTCCTGTCTCTTACTAGTTCACGTTATAGTATCACATTTTGTTGCGGTATGTGAAGCCTGTAAAACGATGCGAACGTGTACTGTAAGATAACTGTAGCTCCGTTTCCTCAGCGTTCATTGTGTCGTGGTCCATCGCTGCTAATGAAGCATGATGGGCAGTGGTTTCTCCTCTGCTCCACTTCCGGGCTCGGGGGTTTGGGATGAGAGAGCGTTCAGGCCGAGTTGTAGAAATGGTGCCGCTTTGTCACGGTTTGTGATGCCGTCCATTAGATCGCCGGAGGGGGAAACCACGCACAACTCTGACTACTGCGCCAAAGACATGAGGAGAGTGGTGTGTGTTTGTAAAAGGGGGGGAGATGGAAACTCCCATGTTCAGGCTATGATTTGCCTGGTGAAATTGGCATTTGTGAGGGTGGAGGGAGACCAGAGGGAGGTTCAGTTGACAAGGCAACTGGGGCCATTTGATCCGAGCCAATCGATTGATAGGGGCCGCTGATAGAGACAGTAATCGGCTTGGTGGGTGAGAGGATGGAAGGCAGAGATGAAACAAAGGTCAGCCACTCTAAGCCTCACAGAGAGCTCCTATTTAGAGGAGAACTGACCGCGATCGTGCAAATTGACACCCAATGGTGGGAAGTAGAGAGAGAGAGAGAGGGAGAGACAGAAAAAGAAGGCCTTTGTGGTGAGTCACCTTGAGAAGGGTGGATACAGGAAAAGATGGAGGAGTGGTGGAATGCAGGAGGAGATGCTGGGATGCTCATGTGCAGTGACGACACAGAGGAAGGAACAATGGTGGAGCTTGATGAGAAAAATGGAGAGATGAACACTGAGATACAGGCAGAGAGAAGAGGATACGCAAGGGTGAATGCATCTGCTGATATCCCATAATGCACTAGGGGCGGAAGCTTCAGGAGGAGAGCCAATCACTGTGGAGGATGGATGGTGTGTGGTGTGGCTCTCTTAGGGACTACACCTACTGTCATTCACAGTGTTTAACCCATACATAATGAAGCTGATGCTTCATATAGTAGTTCTCAACATTGTATTAGTTTCTCCATTTCAGTCCTGATAGTAATTGTTGTTGGACAGTTAAACCAGTTGTTGGTCTCGGCTGTGGTAAATTAATGAGCACCAGTGTGTAATGCACATTTAATTTGCAGTTCATGTAATGATGATAGTTCTTAGCTGTTTCATTACAGGCTGGTTGTAAAAGCTGAAGTGAACATACAGATACAATTATTCTAAACGCAGATAAAAACAGCCAGATTCATTGTGATGTCCAGACTGGTACACTGTTGAACTACAGGAAAGTCTTTACTGATTGGAGGGTTAATCATTTATTGCTAAACTGTAAACCTTCTCCTAGACCCCACTGACTTTACAAATCGATGAGAGACCAGAAGACTCAAGTTTATGCACATCATTTTAATTAAAAATCAAAAAAAGCAGAATCACTGGGGGCCTTAAGTAAATGGTGACCTCATTAACCTGTGTTAATAAATGAGGAGCTTTGGAAAATTGTAAGGCAGTTTTCAAGCACAAAGGTGTAATTATTGGCTGTCACAATATCGACTTACTGTTTATAGAGCTGGGTAGTGTTTAGAAATGTTTCGATAGCTGTGCCAATACCTTGACAATATACCATTAAAGCATCTAGTCGGCCTTATCGTTTACGTTCAGTCTCTAAGAAACACCGTGTTTGCCATCGGCTTTGGATCATTCATCTTCACGGCAGTGAGGGGGGGAAGCACTGGGGCTTTCATCCCGGTGGACGTTTTGGTGAACGGACACACCGACGAGCAGATACAGGCTACCTGCATTGGCTAGCTAGCCCGTCTCTGGGTGTGAACAGTGTTTTTCCTGCATGTCTCTACAATGTGTAACGTTAGACTAATGCAGGGCGATTTACTGGATGAACCGGTATGTCCGTTTTAATTTCCCGTATAATATGAATCTATACCGCCATACTATAAAAGCATAGCTGGAACAACTGCTGTGACTCATTTGTTTCTTGTTTGTGCAATAGAACATTTGAAGAAATTTATCTTTGGATATTAGCAAGTATCGAGTGTTTTATGTCAGTTTAGCGTTTATACAACTATTTAAAATAATGTTTAGAAAGAAGCAATAATGTTTAAGTTGTTGGCATATCCTTTTTACTTTTAGGGCCTGAGCAGCAACTTCTGTTATCACATTTTTGGCAGCCTAAACATTACCAACAAACGACTTATGAAATACGGCACACATGTCAGCGGTGGCGAAGATGTACGTGGCAAAAGGGCTTGACAGTGTCGCCTGGACAACCGCGCCTGCAGCACATGCATGATGTCCTCGATGATACTAAAAGCCTCTTGGAGCCATAACAGTAAGTTGGCCATTTTAAATTAAGTCATTTTTGGCGATTTATCTTTATTGTACCTTAACAAACTCCCCCTGAGGAATTAAATGGATCGACTTCAGATTTGGTCAGTGCAATCTAAAGGCCTTTGCGATGAAAGGTTACCAAAAGCTTGAGAATATTTGGTCATACCGCCCAGCACTGCGTTGGACACACTGCTGCATGCTTATTGGTGCACTGCCGCTGATGAGATTTACTTTGTTACCGAATGACAAGACAGTTTTCAATGTTTTATAAGCGTGTACTTGCATTATAATGCTTATCATTACATCAGTGGCATAAAATGGTCTTCATAATACCGTTTATCGCAGTTTTTCCGGGGACAATGTATCGTTACACAAAAGTAGTTATCGTGACAGACCTACACATGAGAATGCATTAAGATAACATTTAAATTCATGCATGCAGGCACA